AGCAAGCTGGGAGCGGTGGAAGTAAAAGAGAGAAAAAAAAAAAAAAGAGGGGGGGCAGGTGGGGGGGGGGGGGGGGGGGGGGCTTATATATGGGCTAAAGGGTATTGGGCTTTTAACCCTTTTTGTTCCTGTTACCTAGGGGAAATGGGAGCTAACCCATTTGTCAGCGCTGCCATGGATATGGCCAGGAAACTATTTTACAAGCTATGGATAACTTTATCAGTTTATATTGCATCAAGGCAGTCTTTCACCTCATACTAAACTGAAGCAAGACCTTTAAGGGAAAGTCCTTTTCTACACATAATTTAAATAAATTGATCTTACCTTTAATACAACGTTAACAACATGTGAATGTTTAAAACAAAAAAAAACATGTTTCTGTGTTTGCTCTATATGTTTACAAGTTCTGGTTCATCCTTTGCAGGGCATAATAGTGCTTTACAGCGCCTTCGCAAGTTTCTAAGAAAGCTGGTAAAGCTGGCCAAACACCTACAGGCTAAACGAGAAAGGTGTGCTGCTGTCAGAATATCTAAGGGCTTGTTCACATCGAAAGCAGTTCGTTCCAGAGCAGTAGCTGATGGAACGCACCGCGATCTTCCCCCTGCATTCTGGGGCAGAAGGGGCCGTGATGGTGCATTGAAATTCAATGGCAACTCTTCCACGCCCCCCCCGCCCGCAATGCGATCGGACACGTGGCAAAAACTTTGCCTGCGTTCCATTCCACCACAAACGATGGTTTGCGGTACAACGGAACGCAGGCAAAGTTTTGCCACGCGTCCGATCACACTGTGGGTGTGGGGCGTGGAAGCGGTGCCATTGAATTAAATGCACCGTCACGCCCCCTCCCGCCGAGAACGGAGGGGGAAGTTTTGTGAATGATCGCGGTGCGTTCCAGCAGCTGCCGCTCTGGAATGCACCGCTTTCGGTGTGAACCAGACCTAAACAGTGACTTCTGCTGATAGGCTACAGTCACTGTTTGGCCATAAATAAAATAAATACAAAACAGCAAGCTTGTAAAGATATGAAAGCTGCAAAACAACTAAAAATTAAGGTAAACACTGCAAAAATAACTTAAACATAACCTAAAATATGTGGTCTTTTGAAAATAATAAAACATGTGCTCATTGAAAACACACTACACTTTCCCTTTAAAGGTATTTCCAAGGAAAATGGCAATGATTGTTATTTGATTGAGGGTCTACTGTGTAGGGAAATTGAGAAGCTGTGGTTGGAGGTGATCCCTCTAACACAACATAACCTCATATCTGTACAGCACAGTGGTTTTCATAAAGCAGTATTGTATTTTATGTCTGAGCTGTTCTGTAGAGAAGGACTTACCTCTACAAAGCTATTAGTTATTAAATGCTGATACTTTAATTTCACCTTTGAATCTGTGATCAAATGCCTGTTAAAAAAAAAAAAAAAAATACCAGACAAAATTAGTACCAACCACAGAGAGCAGGATATCTTTTCCGCTCTTTTTCAGTGCAGCTGCTGCAAAAATGCTGTGCAAATGTCTACCATATCCCAGAGAAAATATGCATGTGCTTTCTAGACCAAGTAGTACCAAGAGGTTTACTGAGGCTGAAGAGCAGAGCAGGGTAGTGGACAAGAAAAAGGAAAGTTAAGGCAAAGGAAGGTATATTTTAACAAAACATTTTTAATACTGGAGCAGGGGTGTAGGGGCCTCCCGAGGCACACAAGGTTTACAGATTTTTTTAGAAGTACTGCTTTCCGTTAGAAGCACCTTGGTTTCTCTTATTATTATTACAGCTATAGGTGTTTGTAAAACTTTAAGCAAATGTGTAGAAATGACTGAAGAGTAGTTTGGTGGCTTAATTACCTTTTCAAATTTTGGTTCACCTACGCAGTGCACCAGCTTTCAAATAAAAATACATGCTTCTGCGGGAGACTATTACAAGCAGGCACACAGCTGCTGCTTGGACATGACTGCAGCTATTCAAGCAGTACATACAGCTAACTAGTGATGTGGATAAACAAAGGCATTCTCTTGGGGAAAGAACTATGAACAGTACTGCCCGTATAACTATTTAGGCTTCTTAATGCAATCAATGGACAGAGGTTTTAATGGGTAGAACAACCACAGTACAAAGCACTTAGGACACCAAACAATAAGATGCAATATGACTTTACTAAGTCAGCCAGGGATGATTGTGAGCAAGACTGAACCAAAATGTTTAATTAGTGCCCTGATTTTATCATGAAGAGAAAATGTAAGTTTAACACCTTGAATTAATCATATTGGTTATACAGTTTCCCTTTATCTGCTAATGTATTTTTCTGAAATAAAAAACATACAAATTTTAATCAACCATGTTCACATATGACTTAACCTCATTCAGTTCTAAAACTAGAATCACAAAATGCTGATTTTGTTAGAGGAGTATCTGTGCAACATCATCAGTTTATAACATATATAATAGCGTTTACAGCACTTACATTACTGTATTGTCATCAACTAATATGTCACAGCCATGAGCAGGGCAAGAAATGGTCTAAAATTAAAGGAAAAAAAAAAGAAACATAAAACTGCGTTGCTAAAAAGATAATGAACTAGTGAAAACATATTTGCATATATCAAACATTACTGACTGGAAAATGGAGACAAAAAAGCCAATTTCTGTACTGGATACTGCAGTATTGATTCCGCACTGTGCCTTTGTTTTACACTTTATTCATAAAATCCAGGCTGTGGTGTGGATTCTGCTGTGTCCACAGAGTATTCTATACATAATGCTCTAGAAAACACATTGTGACATACAGAGAGAACAGCCCAGTCACATGACAACCTCCTTTCCCATTGCATTTAATTAAATCAAAGGTGCTTTGCTTGTTTTGGAATCCAGAAGCAAGCAAAGTGCTAGGCACATTTGTAAATTACCTTGTTATTTAACAACAGCAGTATGGCCACTGTAAGGCCATACCACTGCTTTATTAAATCTCCCCAAAGTCAAGATAATATAAAGTGAACAAAATACAAGAAAGAGAATGAATACTGGTCCCAATATAAAACTATATTACCTGTCCCATTCCTTCCTCAATGATTTTGGTAGTTAGGTATTCACCCCAGCACTGCATGCAGAACTTGTGACCGCACTCAAGGCCTGTGAAATACTGCAGAAAACATGGAGAAATTATGGATGCATAAAATATGCTGCATATAAATAGAGAAATCTGACTCAATATAGAATAAGGCACACAGTTTAAAAAATGTGAGCCTACATACACTTGTGCTCATAAGTTTACATACCCTGGCAGAATTGATGATTTCCTGGCCATTTTTCAGAGAATATGAATGATAACACGAAAACCTTTGGCACTCATGGGGTAGTGTTTGGCTGAAGCAATTTATTATCAATCAACTGTGTTTACTCTTTTTCAAATCATAATGACAACAGAAACTACCCAAATGACCCTGATCAAAAGTTTACATACCCTGGTGATTTTGGCCTGATAACATGCACACAGGTTGACACAAAGGGGTGTGAATGGCTATTAAAGGGAACCATCCTCACCTGTGATCTGTTTGCATGTAATCAGTGTGTGTGTATAAAAGGCCAATGAGTTTCTGGCCTCCTGACAGACCCTTGCATCCTTCATCCAGTGCTGCACTGACGTGTCTGGATTCCCAGTCATGGGGAAAGCAAAAGAATTGTCAAAAAAACCCAAATAGTTTAAAACATTTCAAGGTGTCACTTTAACCCCTTCGTGACGGGAGACGTACACTGTACGTCCAGCCACAAAGGGACCAAATGACTTGTCACGTACATTGTACGTGACGAGTTATTTGCTGCATTAGAGGGCTGGTAACCGCTGAGAGTCAGCGGTTACCATTCATTAATGGATGCCTCACTATAGAGGCATTCATTAATGAAAGGGTTAACCTTTTTCAGACACCTGATACCTTAATATCAGGTGTCTGAGAGTCAAAGCAGAGCGGGCAAACATGCCGGCAAAAGCCAGCATTCTGACAGCTCGTGTAGATCTGGAGATATCTCTCTGATCGTATACTGGCTTTTTCTTTCACTTTCAGGGATACATAATGTATCTATTCCTGAAAGAAGAATGTTTCAGTTTTCTAATCGTTGTTGGAGCGTTCAGAAAACCTTTAGGCCCCGTTCCCACTGCCAATATATGCCAATCGCGCGTTTGTCGCGCGATTTGCATATTGCGCGACATCGCGAGATTTGCCGCGCGATTTGCATATCGCGCGACATCGCGAGATTTGCCGCGCGATATCGCGTTCAAGCTTGCATTGAGCAAGCTTGAATCGCGGCTAAATCCGCTCCAAAAAGGGTCCTGCTGTAGCGACACGCGACACACGACCCGCGACAGCAGGACCCTTTGCCCCATTGAAATGCATTGGAGCGCGATATCGCGCGGTAATTTGCCACGATATCGCGGGAATTACCGCGCGATAAATCGCTCAATGTGAACGGGGCTTTAGTGGCAGCTGAATCCTGAACTGCTGCAGGATCAGTGCCAGTAACTAATTATTGGCTGTTCTGAAGTTTGAAACAGCCTAATAACCAAAAATGTATTAATTTATCAAGCAGTAATAGTGAGATTAATTCACAATGACTGCTTGATATAATGAAATAAATAAAATTTGAAAAGTGTAAAAAAAATAAAAAAATAGTGAAAAAGTGTAAAGAAAAAAAAAAGTCTAAAAAAATAAAAAATAAAAAAGGACAAATAAATGTATTTATTGCATTTTTTTTTTTGCTGTGCTGGTTTTGTAAAAAATACTACAAATCAAAACTGGGGAAAAAAGTTTTTTTTACATTTTTTCTTCTTTTTTTAATATTTTATTTGTCCTAAGTGAGGTGTTAAACACACATATGTGATATAAATATGTAGCCCTATCTGTCCTCTAAAAAACAATATATAATATGTGTGGGTGCACTTTGTAAGAAAGTATATTAGTGACGTGGAAGAATCACACAGCAAAAATTTCAAAAGTGTGTCAGTCATTTACGAACAGAAACTAAAAACAAGCTCAGTCATGAAGGGGTTAAAGAGGAACTTTACCCATTTAATGTTTCTTAAACAGTCATTTAAAAAAGGAGAACAATGGGGTTAGGGCTTTTCCCCATAGTTCTCCTTAGGGTAACGGGAGGACACAAACTAGCGTCCTCCCGTCACCCTAAGCTCAGTATACCACGAGCTACAGCTCGCGGTATACTGAGACGCTGCAGCTGAAGCGGCTCCCGACAATTATGTCTGGATCCCCCCAGCTGTGTGAGTGACAGCTGGCTCTGCCTATCTGGAGGCAGAGCCAGCTGTACCCGCTCCCTCCCCCATCCGTTCCGCCAGTCAGCGCTGGAGGGTCGGAGCGGGGAGGGGGGAATCCAGCCCCACCCCTGTCATGGCAGAGAGCCGTGACGGGATCGAGAAGTGAGCGAACGCCGGTATGTGTTCGCTCACTTCCCGATCTACTGAGCCGACCTGTGACAGTCTCATTGTCACAGGTCGGCTAGAACTATGAGGTGAGTGAAAAGCACTCACCTCATAGTTCTCCTTTAAGTCATGCCAACTGTCAAGGTTGTCAGAGTACTTATAATCAGCTCTTAACATTCAAGCCCTCAAATGGCTGGTGCAGGGGCGTGGAATTCCTATCGCTCAACGCCCAGGACATGCATTTCCGGCCGTTTTTGTACATTTAGCCCTGCTTCAAGCAAGCAGAGCGAAATGTACAGTGAGGAGCCGCCACTCTGTCCCCGTCTCTACCAACCACCCCCGACGGTTATACTTAACTTTCGGCGAACAGTCCTTACCCTCCGCCAGTACGGGAGTACTATCTGTACCCCGTACTGCTGTCCAGCACAGTACTGCCCTATGCATTTTGAATTTCGCTCGCAAATTGGTCATTGTGGTCATGTGACCACAATGACCAATGAGATGCGCTATTTGGCACAGTCAAATACAGTTTTGACTAGGGATGCACTGATACAGAGTATTTGGGCGAGTACTTGTACTCACCCAAATGCTCTGATACCTTCCCCGATACCGGAACTTCTGGTCAGAGGAAGATTTCCTCTGACCAGCAGTGCCATAGGGGAACATGGAGCCAGCTTTCCGTGTAACCAGGAAGCTGGGTGGTGAGTAATGACCCGCCTCCCGGTTTCCCGATTGGCCGGGAAGGTGGTTTTCCGGCAAATCAGCATCGAGCCGGCTTCCCAGCCGTTCATTACCCGCCGCTGGGCTTCCTGATTGGCGGGGAAGTCGGCTCAATACTGATTGGCTGGGAGGCCAGTTTTCCGGCCAATCACAATCAAGCTGGCCAAACAAAATGGAGCCGGCTTCCCTGACAATCAGGAAGCCAGGTGGCATGTCATTACCCCCTGCCCGGCTTCCTGATTGCCCAGGAAGCCGGCTCCATGCCAGCAGAAGCACCCGTATGGGTACTCAGTATCGGCAAGTACCAAAAGCAAAAGATCGGTACTCATACTCCATAACTAAAAACTGGTATCGGTGCATCCCTACGTTTGATTACATTTTTTTTGTATTGGGACAAGCAGATTGCCATGAGGGACAAGCAGATTGTCATGAGGGACAAGTAGATTCAGCCCCCGCTTTAGCCCTTGGACAAGTAGTTTAAAAAAAAAAACTTTGAGTAATGCATTTTATATCACATGGCTTTCAGGCTCTGAACAATGTTAAAGTGATGAATAGTTACCACTAGTAAAAATGTTAATTGCCAAACTATTAAACAGTTAAACTGTTAAATTAGCCAGGAAGTTACTTCTCCATACAGGGCAGGCCTTAGGTCCTGTATGGACCACATCCCTCAGTGGCCCCACACCCAGTAACCACACCCATTCCCCCAATATCCGGACCATTTAAAAGACTCCCATTTTGTTAAGCCGCAGACAAAAATATATTAAAAAGTATGATAAAATAAAAAAAACTTTTATTCAAAAGGTATTAAACTTAAACTTGTAGGCACAATATAAGTATTCTTAATAAAACAACAGAAGGCAAACAATAAATGTCAAACTAAAATAGTCTATAAAAATAAAGTGTCAGGTTGTTATGCCAATCCCTTTTTTCAAGTAAGTGCATCTAGAAAAGTAACAAAAGAAAATAGAACACAAAACCCAGACTACTTGTAAAATGAATGAATTACTATTTGCTCGAATACACGAAAAATGTATTCGGGCACATAATTTGTTTGAGAATGTGCAGAGGCCATGTTGGCCACGGGCGTGTTCTGTGAATGTGTGCCACCATCTTGGAGGCGGGGAGCATGACGTTACATGACGCCATGCATGCGTGGCGTCAGGCGACGTCCCACGCCGATATAGGCACTGCCATCTTGGTGTATACCTAGATATACACCAAGATGGTGGCGCCCAACACGTGCAGTGTTATATGACGTCATGTGCCCTGCCTCCAGAACATGCCAAAGGCTGAATCCAAAATAGCATAGAGATGTGTTTTGTTTGATGAAACTAATGAAAAAGTTTTTAGTTTTCGTGCATATCATGTGAAATAGTGTGTGTGTCTGTGGGGAAATAATTTTTTGGGGGGGCTACGGAGAAATGTTAGTGGTCTAAACAGTCCCCTGACATTTCCCTTTTAAAATAGAAAAGAAATTGAGGACACAACGTCCTCAATTTCTTTTTCTGCAGCCTCAGCACTCAATGAATGGGAAGCACTCAGTACAGAGGCTTCCCATTCATTCAGACACTAATGATACTAAAATATTTACTATCAACAGTTTCTGAATGGGGAGGAGCCTCTGTACCGAGTGCTTCTCCTCACAGGAAATCTTGCTGTGGCTCCTGTCACAGTACATGGCCAACTTTATTCTGAAAGGAGACCAGCCGTGTATGGCCAGTTTGATTCAGAAAAGGAGGAAAAAGAGGAGTTCATTCAGATGCTTAGCCATTTGGTGGCACTTAGTCAATGGGGCTTTCAGCCAGAAAGGAAATGGACTGAAGACTCCATTGGCTGACTGTATCACTTCATTACTGCTCTAACAGTTTAGTTTGGGTCCTGCTTTCTTTTAGAGCTTTTCCTGGAAATTCCTTCTACCTGGAACCAGGTAATGCTGGAAGTTTGAGCAATTTATTTGTGCTATACATCCAATGTCAGCTCATGTGAATATGCTCAATCCATATCCCTTTGTGCTCATGCACAATAAATGATTTCAGAAACAGGATAATCAGCATATCACCGTTACAGCAAATAAAACGTTACTTTTATCTCTATTTCCACCTTAAGATCAATGAGGCAGCATGTGTAAAAGGAAAACACGCATTTAATACTTGCTGCCGCATTAATCTTAATGTGGAAATAAAAAGTAGAGACTGGGGATGTACCAATCTTCCTGCTGCTTTGATTTAGCATCTATTAATGTTTCCAAGCACTGATAAAAAGGGGGCTTGTTCTGGGGAACTAACACTGAGGTGGGGGGGCTGGTCTTGCAGCACCTATGAAAGGAGAAGGGGGAGTTTTCAGCGCACTTGTCTAGGGCCACATATACCGAGGGTGCAAGGTATAATGAGCTATGTTACTATAGCTGTGTATTGGTATTCACCACTTCCTGCCAAATATTGCAGTATAAAGCAACATTTTCCCTGCTCTGTTTGGGGCAAATATATAACTGACATTTTTTCCTCTTCAAACAGGTACCCATCTTTGGCCAACCAAAGAAATAATAAAAATAATTTGTCAGCTCAATGAGCTCATAATAAAAATTAAACATTTGTAACAAAATCCTACAATTCTCCTGCACTGCATGGCCTCTTATCTATAATAATGCAGGAATATATTTGATCACAATGTAACATGTTAGAACACATGACAATGCATCACAATCCTCTGCCATGCACACTGTTGCATGAATGTTATTTAAAAAAGTAAAAAAATCCAATCAAATCAAGCACTGGGATACAAAGTATCAATGCACTGTACTGCATGTGTACAACTCACCATGAGAACGCAACCCACCTAAGGCATACTGACCGTGCCAGCTGGAAGTGGTTCCATTCCACTGTATGCCTTATGTTGGTGGCAGGGATAGGGTTAAACCAAATTCGAAGTTGTTTTATAGCAACCATGTATTATGTTTAGTCCCTATTTCCTAATTTGCTGACATTCAGCACTAAATGTGTTGGCAATTTATAGCAGTAAATTCATAATAATCCACCTACTTACACGTTTGCTTGCAGTTGCCATCATCAAAGCAGTAAACATTCACAGAACATGTAAAACCATGTCACGTACATGCTGACTGCTTTTCACATTAATTGAAGTATACATAGAGACTCATAATTGACTGAAGGTAACACGTGGGTCAGGGAAATACAGTAGCTCAATCAATGACATTTCTTATATGGTTAAAAAGGGAATCCTTGCATAGCTCCCCATGAAAGATATGCAGGATAACTCACTGAATTTGGATAGTTCAAGTAGCAGATCTGACAGGGCATATCCTGGGCAGAGGAACGCGTATTCATGGGCCGTGTTCGTGACTTCTTACTAGGGTTAATGACATGACATTCTGAGAAGAGCTTCTCCAGGTTGCCATCAAAATACCTAGCAGAAGAGAAGAAAAACAAAGGTTTAGGTTCATGACACCTAAATGCAGAAAAAACTACAACACCACAAACCCATGTCATTTAAAGTGATAAAGTCAAAAGGTTTTTACACTATTTGAAATGCTGATTAATTAGGATGGATGCTACTACTTGATTTTTAAAAGTTTTAGTTTTCTGCAGATCAGCTGGTTTCCTGAGCACTGGTACAGTTTTCCTGTTGTAGAGTGGCTCCTTTTCCTTTGGCAAAATTCTATGGAGCCACCCTTTTGTTCTCTAGAAAGCTGCATGCTTCTCCACAAACACACAGGCACAGCAAGGCAAGACACTCCCCTATTCTCTGCGCCTTTCCCTCCCTTCAAGTTAGTAGATGGATAGCTACTGCAGACTGCTAAGTCCCTTGAGATCCTGTACAGGACAGGAAATTCAGGAAAGCCGAACTGAGAGAATTGGAGCCAGCTGTTTGGAAACATGCTGACGGTGAGAAATACTTTGAGAGTAATGTATATTTGTTTGCTCTGAATTTATTATTATAAAAAAGATTGAGCGTTTAATATTACTTAAAGAAAAGCACCTCAAGTTGAAGTATTTACATAATGATATGCTAAGCCTGTATTTGTTTGAAAATTCTTTGCCCCCACTGTGCTGAAAACACCATTGACAATATGGAGGCTGTGTTCAGCTGCTCCCCATCTGCGACATTAGCTAAAGTCCAGGCAAAGGCTGGGGAACACTGTATGTGGCGCTTCCCTGGAGCCTGGCTGTCAGCAGAGCTGGGAAAGAGTAGCAGTTGCGTGCATCTGGAATGTATCAAAAAGATTTTCAAACAACTATAGGCCAGCATATGCTTATGTATGTACTTTAAAACAGAGATGTTCATCTTAATAGGCATGGGTTGGTGACGGGGTCTCTTTAAAAGGACAATCACACTTATAGTTATCCCTTAAACCCTCTTTCCCAACTTCAGTGTAGTCCACAGGGTGTATCACTCACATGGAGTTCTATTCCAGGGATCTTCATTGTGTGCCCCTGTCCGGGACAGGCTTTGCTTGAAAACTGTGCAGGCCAGTCCTACCACACAGGCATGCTCCAGCACTTGTTTAGTACTCATGGCCTGGCCATGACTGTTTTAAATCAAAGGCTGTGCAGCACTGGTCATAATACAGTGTGAGGGATACACAGGAAAATATAACTATTTCACAGTAATAATTCTACAATACATCTGACTAAACCCCCAACACACACACACACACACACATTTCTAATACTGTACAATGTGACATGTTTAATTGTAAAACTTATAGCTTTTTGCAGTCAATAACTGCATACCTATACCCTATAAAAGGGAGGACAAATGAATATGGAATTCAAGAGCCAGTCTGGTTTTTTTTCTTAGGAGTTTTAAATTAGCGTCCACTAAAAAACACACACACACACACACACACACACACACACACACACACACACACACACTTAAACATTGTAGACAGTTTCATGTTTCAGTCTGACTTCAATAAAAATATCCCTTCTGTAACGAACATCTACAAACACCATTGTGTCTCCTGTGTACAAGCTGTACATACCAAACATTCATAAGGGACCATTTAGCTGTCTTGTCACCTTATACACACACAGGTCACACTGTTCAAGTCTCCGGGGTCCCTGTCTCAGACATGGGATTTAGAAAAAGAGATTGTTAGGTCTCTAGCGTTTTTCAGTTAATTTCCATGTTGATTAGACTGTTCAAGTCTCTTTAATCTTTGTAATGATCAAAACAAAATGCTGCAGCCCCACGTACTTACAGCATACCATGGTAGAAAGCAGTTATCTCATGTGTTAGTAGATCCAGACAGATGAGGCCTTACCTCTCCATTAGCTTCTCCTTGTCCCAGTTGAAATGACTCAAAAGTATTCTAGTGATAGTAGCAGGGTTCTGTGAACACAGTAAGCAGACACTTGTCATTTGTACACTATATACACCGCATTATTTTACAACCAATATCACATTAAACAAGCATCTGATTCAAGTTTCCTAGCATTTGCTCCTACACTAATTTTATTTTGCCACTTTAGGCCTTATGCACAGGGTGGTCAAAGCTGCAGTTGGGGATTTCTGCAAAAAGAACCTAGATTCTAGTGGCAGGAATCCCAGGGGTATACGTACGGATGTGGTCACTGTGCCCATTCAAAGTGAATGACAGGCTGATAGTAAGCGGCATCTGTCCGAATGTAATCAAATGTGGAACGATTACCTGCGGATCAGGATAGATGATTGTACCTGGACGCAGACAGTCTGTGTCCGGCGACAAAGATCCATCCAGAACCACACATATTTGTTCCCTGTACGATTACATTTAGACAGATGCGGACACCATCAACCTGTCATTCACTTGAATGCGCACAGTGGCTGCATCAGTACAGACACAATCATGTAAATGGACATTAAAAAAATATCTAAGCAAATTTTTTTATGTTAAAATTACCTTGGGTTTAAAAACTAAAATATAAAACATTCAGACGCATATTTATGAAAAAATTATTTGCTATTATAGGACAATGAAGAAGTACTGGTAAGGTATGTTTAAGACACAATCATGTAAATGGACATTAAAAAAATATCTAAGCAAATTTTTTTATGTTAAAATTACCTTGGGTTTAAAAACTAAAATATAAAACATTCAGACGCATATTTATGAAAAAATTATTTGCTATTATAGGACAATGAAGAAGTACTGGTAAGGTATGTTTAGAAACAATCTTATTGAAATGATAAAACACAGAAAGCCCCCTAAATCTACAGCCATCTCTACAAGGAGGCAGCAAGTGTAGAACCACCCAGTATTCTAGGATTCTTGTAGACATTCACTAGCAGTGATTATTCTAATAAATTACTGTCATGTATTCTTTACATCCCCCCTCAAACAACCTTCTTAGGCATCCTGTTGACAACAAGTCCTCCGTTTCGGTCTTTAATATTTTGGAACTTTTACACATGCAATCTGTTTTTAAAAAATGCCAGTGACATTTCTTTGGTACGTGATATGCCAAACCCAAATTGTAGGGCAAAGCTATAAGCACAAATATGTAGAAACGCACAGCAGACACTCCCAGCACCATGTAGATGTAGCAACAGAACAATCTATGTCCAACTATCTATGCTACACTGATGTGAAAAAAGTATCTGATCTTTTAGTGTATAGGGAACGTATAACGGATTTTGAAATGTAAACTTAAAACTTTTTTAGTTTAGGATGGAGCAGGGAACAGTTGGTAACAATTTTTAAAAGACTCATTCGCACTAGAAATCTCACAAATTCCTGTGAGACTCATGTGATCTGCGGCAGGCAGTTGTCGTACTATACAATGACAACTGCCACAGCTATTCACAGTCCACTGTGTAATCACAGATCCTGCAAATACCTGCTGACAATCGCACCTCGGCGCAAACCGTTTGCAGGCATTGGCAGCATATGTGCTGCAGCAGCAGTCGCCGCATCTGCATGTACTGGCAGCTGTCATTGTATTGTACATCGCCTCCGGCCCATAGCAGAGCATGAGTCTCATGGAGGAATTTGTGATGTGATCAGCCCCATCTGCAAGTGAAAATAAGGCCTTACTGGAAAATCCAACATTTTTAAATAGTCATCGAAAAAGGAGCAGAGGTGAAATCTTCCACTGACACCTGTTCTGGTGAGTTTAGCCATTCCATACCTTATCCCAAAAATGTTTTGGCTTTACTGGCATAAGGGCTTATTCACATTGGTGCAGAGGTCTGTGTCCCATGAAAAATATGTCTGAATTTCTGGGCTGTGGGAGCCACAGGTGTTGTGTACAGCTGGTCTGTATAAATCTATGACAGGCCGCAGCCATATGGTGGTAAACGCTGCTCGAAAACTATACTTGTGTACAGAGACGGATGTACACCCCTTGACACGGACCCACATCAAGGGGCATACAAACCAATACTAGTGACACTTTACTCTTTTCGGCTTTATTCATACATTACAGTAGCAAATTACAAAGAAAACTAAAAAGGAGACAGATATTTTCATAGCAATGTACATTTAATATTGTATACATGAGGAAAAACTATTTTCTGACTATAAACGGATTATATAAAACATGTAATTCAATCATCTATCTAATGAGCATTCTAAGGTGATGGTACAAAACAAAATCTGACCAGCCATTTTCAGCCAGATTGGGTGACTCACTCATGTCGGTGGAAAGATCCAAACTCGCCTCCTACCTTCTACATTGCTCTGAACAGAACAATGAGTATAGCAGAATGTTCCTGGTTCATGGATTTCTTGGGTCTTGCCTACAGAGTCTATAGAATCCTAGGGTATAGTAAAGTTGCTAAGTTTTTTTTTTTTTGCTTCATACGCTAGCAATAGTAGCTAGACTTGGGAACTTACCCGGGGACCAGTGAAAAGGAGTCTATGAGAAGTTCAGGGCATCTACATAACCAGACAGCTCATTATTAAAACACTTAGGTTTCTTCTGCAGAAATTTACTGAAACATAGGCAACACCTTAAAACATTGTTCTACATAAGGGGTCTCAAACTCAATTCCCTCGGGGGCGACTCGACACAATTTTTTTCTCCAATGGGGGCCGCTTGCCAAATGTCATACTTTAAAATAAAATTTAACTATATCCGGTATGGTTAGGAATCAACTATCCCCGGACGCATCGATTGTGCATCCAGTGAGTGTGTTTTCTAACCGCATGTAGTAATATCACATACCATAACATGCGGTGTGCAGGAGTTTACATTCAGCTGCTATCACCTGATCATTAACTTGAACGGGTGACAGCTGCCGCTTGTAAACATCAAACACAAACCACCATGTGAAATGTAATACAGAGCCCCTATCCTGCTTACCTATTTGCAGGGAGGAGGCTGTGTGAGTAGGCACGATCCTCGGTGATTGATTAGTGAGGTCTGCAGCAGATCTTACCAATCACCGAGTGCCGACACAGAAGCAGCTCTGCGGTCTGCATTCGACAGATGCAGACCGTGGAGCTTCTCCCACAAGTCGGGTACGCAGTCAGTGACAGCATTCCTGACTCGTGAGCTGGCCCGCGGGTCGGTACTTTGAGACCACTGTTCTACATAAGATAGCTATGTGATTGCATTAGATAATATGGTTAAAAGTTGTGCAGGCTGGTTAGATTATTGTAGCTTCATATTGCCTCATTTAAGTTACTGATAACCTTTTGCCCAGAAGAAAAACTAGTTACAATGCCCATTATCAAACAGCTATAGAGCACAGATAGATATTTATACACAGGGCAGGATGAATGTGAAGTTGTCAGGGCTTTGTTTTGTTTATAATGTCTGCTTTACTATGGTTAATCATTGTATATCTAATATAACTATAGCCCAGCATTCCCAGACTATGAAGAGAATTTATTGATACACCTTGCGGTGCAACAGACAGCTTCACTAAAAGTATAAATGGTTATAAACATGAATATGACAAATATCAGCCAAAGTTATTGTTATAATCTTTTCTCAGGGACACACAACTGTATTAAAGAAAACTATTGTGTTTAACCACTTCAGAATCGGCATGTTAACCCCCTTAAAACATGGAGCGTGGTAATGGTACAGCAAATACATTAAATGTACAGGTCATACACAGAAGGAAGCGGAGGTTAATGTACAGGTCACATACAGTGGGAGGATAGAAATAAGGGCTTATTGTACAGATAAGGGGCTAATACACAGCTCAGAGCAGAGACAGAATGGAGATGACATACTAAGGGGGTGAAAGGGTTAGTAAGAAAAAAAGGTCACATTGTTATTTTGTGTGGCTACAGCAGCTTGTTTTCACCAGGAACTAGTGAAATGAATGACCTATTCCCTGTATTAGTTCATTTAGGGCCCGTTCACACCAGCTGCAGGGCGTTCCGGGCCGATTCTGGCCAGAACGCACTGCCTCGCATTGCGGCCGGCTCACTTTTTAGTGGGGCAGGAGGGGGCGTGGCGGGCCATTGAAGTGAATGGCACCTTAGCCACGCCCTCCAGCCGCAATGCGATCGCCTGCACGGGATCACAAGGCACACCAATTCATTTTTCGTTGCCCTTGTGGTAAGATCGGTTGAAAAATGGGTCATAATGCAACACAACGGATTCGGTGTGAATGGGCCTCAAACTTTTTTTCACATGAATGAAGATCATACACTTTGCCCAGCAGAGTATTTCTTTACATTTTTCCAAACACCTGACGCCAGCCTTCTCAGCACTGCTTCCCTGAACTCCCCGTCTAGTTCAAGACCACAAGAGACAGTGCAGTCTCCAGCAGTTGCTAGCTCCTAGCTTGGAGAAGGGAAGAGGGATGAGGGGGAGCAAGGAGGGCAGTGGTTTGCCTGCTGTGTCTGTGTGTTTATGGAGACACGCACAGCTTTCCATGGAGTGGCTCCATAGGAACCTGCAAGGGAAAGGAGACACCCGGAAACAGGATATCAGAGCCAGTGCTCAGGAGAGCAGCTGATTCTGCATGAAACAAACTTTTAAACATCACGGAGCAGCATCCATTGTAGGTGATTTTAACAGCATTCTAAGTAGTTTAAAAACTTCATGACTTTAAAATCACTTTAATTTCTTGATTGCTGTTCTATATTTTGATTAATGGATTTGATATACAGGTTTGAAAATGTTCCTTCTAGTGGTAATCTGTATATCACAATATGTGGTTAGCATTTGCTGCTAAATGACCACTAAAAATAGTTCAATTAGCCTAAGGGTGCTCATATAGGACATGGCAGAATGGCTTGAAAGGTGAAGAGTACCTACCCGTCGTCCAATATCTATAACCAATTTAAAATTAAAAAGACATTTAAGACCAGCTGCAACTGCTCAGAACACGGGAATTTATCAAAACTGGAGCAGACAATCTGGAGCAGTTGCCTGGGGCAACCAATC